GCTGTTCTGTTAGGTTCGCTTCTGAAAGACCGGCCACTGTTCTGAGCTGGTCCAGCGACTCGACCACTGCTGCCACGTTGTCGGTGAGATTCTGTTCCGTGGGTTTGGTGATTTTTGGCAACTTCAGGACTCGATTAAATAAGTACTCCGCCAAAAGTCTGGGATCATCGTACTTCTTTTGGAGCTTTCTCCATGCGTTCTCATAATTCTGATCGCTGATGGGTATCGTAGAGATCAGAGCTGCTGCTGGTCCTCTGAGGCTGCTCTTCAGCCTCACCAATTTCTCCACTGGGGGAATTGTAGATTTGCTGCCCACCAGTGAAGTGAAGAGGTCACTGAACTCCTTCCACTGTGAAGGATTGCCATCAAAAGGCTTGACGTCCAGTCTCGTCAGCTGATCGTGATGTTGAGGACTCGGTGGTATACTGGGTGGCTGAGCTTTCTTAGATAGTTGACCCCTCAACCTGCTGATGAGCCTGGCGCATTGCTTCCTGGTGGTGCTTGCCTGCTCGAATACCCCGTTCGCGAGATACGGGTGATCGTGTGGAATGGACTCGATCAGGCTCCCCTGGATGGTGAGTAATTCTGCCCACTCGGAATCCAGGATTCTATCGTGGCCGTCCAAATCCTCGTAGGTGACATCCTCGTCGGTCATGATGACCTTGGTGAGTTCCTGATAAACCTCCGTAATACTGTCCACCCTGAGCTGTATCTGCCTCAGTTGGATGAGTTGATGCACTGTGAGACCATCCTCTGGAACTTGAATAATCTCGGAGTACCTCTGCTTGACATCCGAAATTAATTTGTCCCCATGATTGAGTGTATCTCCATCAGGGACATTGATGATGACCTTCAGAATTCCAGGTGATGAGTTTACTGCGCTCGTGGATGGGTTAATTTCCTCCTTACTGTCCTGCAATTCTTGTTCAATTACTGTTTCGGAGCCTGACATGGTGATGTACTGTTTTGTTTACAACCTGTCAGATCCCTTGGTAAATGAGTACGAGAGTTTCTACTTTACCGACCGCCTGCGGTTTACCACTCGGTGAGTTGCTGTGCTGCGTCGGTAACTGGTCGACTCTCCTGCTGTGAGGCGCCGCCTGTTGCTGGGCGCTGGGCCCGCGCTGAGACGGTTTGGCAGCACTCGGTGATTCTCGCTGACTCTCGACTCTACGGCACGTTGAGGCACTGGAGGACAATGGTGTTTATACTTCTATTGTCCGGAGAATATAAACACTGGCACAAACACGTCTGAATTTGTCCGTTGAGTTTCTGATGTGAATCCCGAATGTCCGCGTGGGTTTTTCACTGCACTGAATAATTTCACACTACCGATTCCCGAATCCGGCTCGAAGGACCATGTGTTTGGAGGGAAAACTGAATTTAGGGTGGATTGGGAAAGGGGTAGTGGAAATGCCGGTGAAAAACGAACGCACTGAGTCTATAAAAAATATACTGATTTATTCGGTGGAATCGAACCACCTTAGCGTCACTTGTTACACTCTGTTAATTGTCACTGAAATTAATTCAAACTGTTCTGAATTTAACACTGCAGATTTTCTGAATAATATACTGAATAATAGGAGACTGTACTGAGAATTTAAATAGGAGATGTACTGAGAAAACAAAATGTCTCGAACGGGTGATGTACTGACGCTGTTCGGACAACCCAAAGTAGCTTTTGAAAAACGATATACTGCTCGCTCAACTCATTTGCTACGACTCTCTACGATTGACTCTGAGATTCGGTGATTGACTAGGCCTGACCATTGACCCGAGGTTTCCCGAAGATTTTCGTAAGTGGCCGATCTGTGGTCAACCGTTGATGTACTGAATTTTAACTGCGTTTCAAACAGACCATTTTTATAGAGCAAATAAAGATCTACAAAGAAGTTTATAATGAAAATTTGACTACTAGCCACAGATTCAGAGATACTCATCAAAAATCCAGCTGAGGGTTATTGCGTTGAGCGCACCAGGAGGTTTGAGTAAGTTGCGCATGGCGCCAATCACGCGACTCATGGCACTGTCGCAGGGAGCTGATGCGTTGCGCCGACTGCTCCGAAATTGCTATTATGATTAATAATAAATTAACGGTATATTTTGGGCTATAAGTTCCTAACTCCCCCCGATAGGACATTTTCTCAGCTACAAAGAAATATTTTTTTTTTCCCATCTGATGAGGTTAACTAAAGATATCTAGGATTGACGACAGCCTGTCGGCAATTCCCAAGTGTTTATAACAAATTATGAGTCACCCCGGCAGATTTGAGCATATACTTTTTAAAACATTAATAATTACACTTTTAGCTATCGATTGGTATAATTTGGTGCCCTTTGGTTAATTTCGATGTAAACGACATTTTCAGAGCTAGTTTGACTGGACTATTAGAGGCATATTGGTTAGTGTCGAACTTCCCCTCAATTTTTTTGTCTCGCCGCTCGAGCGCTTCCCCCACTCTGTCCACACCCACGCCGGAGAGTAAACACTCCAATATTTTCTTCAAATTGCTATTATCTTCCGATTCCAGTAAAGACGAAAAATAAAATATTCTGCATTTGAATTGTCAATCAAAAAATTTAGCCCACTTCTGCCTGTCATGGGGGGAGGATCTCATTTTGTTGGCATAAAATTAATTCGAAATTGGATTAAATAAAATAATGAAGCGATGTAAAGAAAACGACTGTAACATTTTTAATTCACATGGTTCGTTAACTCCAGAAGAAATATCTGTTCTATGGAATGTTAGGTACAAAGCTTCTGTGATCAAATATAGTCAATGAAATTAAAAATGGTGATAACAAAAAAATCGTCTTAATCTATATGAATTTTGCTATTATAGTTGAAGCTGTGAACTAAAGTTTATCATTACAATAAAGTGTTGAATTGAGAGAGAAAAGAAATAGTATTTTTCATTTTATCGTTCCCAGTTCTCGGAAGTCGGGCTCGGCCAGAGCGCGTAGTGGGGGAAGGTAAATAGAGTCGAATTCTTCGAAATCGCTTCCCCTATCCCGCAAAACAGTCGACTCTAACAAGAGTCTAATGTAAATCCTTTAGAAAAAAAAGAGTTATTTTTCATTTATTTTCTGCTAAAAAAAATCAGCTGAAATATAGATAATAATCCCGTGAAAAGTACTCTCAGCATTTTTTGTAGTGTTCCACGAGAGATACGAATTTATTATACGTGGACTCTCATTTTTCGGGATAAATTCGCCGGACGTCGTGTATAGAATCGCCGTATTTCTATACGCATTTCTCTCGAGCGTATAGGAATAAATCGTATAGAATAATCCCTATAGAATCCCCTATACGATTCCCAGGGGAATGGATAGAAACCTCGTGTATAGATTCGCCGGATTTCTATACATATTTCTCTCGAGCGTATAGGAATAATTCGTATAGAATAATCCCTATAGAAACCACTATACGATTCCCAGGCGAATGGATAGACACCTCGTGTATAGAATCGCCGGATTTCTGTACGCATTTCTCTCGAGCGTATAGGAATAAATCGTATAGAATAATCCCTATAGAAACCCCTATACGATTCCCAGGCGAATGAATAGAAACCTTGTGTATAGATTCGCCGGATTTCTATACATATTTCTCTCCAGCGTATAGGAATAAATGGTATAGAATAATCCCTACAGAAACCCTATACGATTCCCAGGCTAATGAATAGAAACCTCGTGTATAGAATCGCCGGATTTCTATACGCATTTCTCTCGAGCGTATAGGAATAATTCGTATAGAATAATCCTTATAGGAATCCCTATACACTTCCCAGGCGAATGGATAGAAACCTCGTGTATAGAATCGCCGGATTTCTATACGCATTTCTCTCGAGCGTATAGGAATAAATCGTATAGAATAATCCCTATAGAAACCCCTATACGATTCCCAGGCGAATGGATAGAAACCTCGTGTATAGAATCGCCGGATTTCCATACGCATTTCTCTCGAGCGTATGTGTATTATATTCGCTGGAATACCACATTCAATTTTTGAATTCCCTAGAGTTGTAAATTCTAGGAATCTGACCTCTACAGAATGATATTTGCGAATAAACACTACACGCCGAGGTTTTCTTTATGTTGTTAATTAAATGTTTTTAGGAAGAATTGGAGTTGACATAAATGACACTTACACAACACCTTCAATAAAAACTTAAAATATATTTTACAAGAATGACAAGTTAGAATGCACATACAGATAATGAGGAATGGAAAGATCTCCGTTGAGATGTTTCTTCTATAAGAGTCGCGTTAATACTGTTTGATGAAAATTAATTTTGGAGATAAGTTGTAGAAAGGTAGTCGGAAGGGATGAAAAATTGTGGAAGAAGAAATGGATATCTGAGGTTGCAAATGATTGGAGGCAAATCATTAGGATGGGAGGGACTATATCCTGATCGAGTGAAATACTCAGTGGGTAATAAAGGGGCATGGAGAGGGATACTTCTGGCGTCTGTTGGGCCTATTCCCCAATTAAAAATGTCTCGAAAAGTATATTTGAGGGTTAAGTGCAATAAGTGAGAAGAAAAGGAATTTTTGTACTAAGACGAAAGGTGATTATTGCACTAGACAATATGATGATGATTTAGGAAAGGAATCTATAAAGTAATTTTCCGCGCAGAGTTTACCTTCAATAAAAGGGATTAGGACGGTGTTGTAGTGATTAAGGAAATGGAAAAGGTTCTTTATGAGTACAGAGAATTGAGGATTATTTTAATAAAACGATTCAAATTCTAAAGAGAAAATGTGCTGAAAGGACAAAATGAGCAATATTCTGAAAATATTTGAAAGAATTCTATAGTTCTATTATACTCTAGACGATGTGACTGAAATTTTCAAGGTTTCTATGAAGTTATTGGGGAATTTACTCGAAGAAAAAACTTCAAATTGTTCTCAGAAAAAATACGGAAAAAATACTCGATAATTAATTAATTTCGCGTGTTTTGACACGCAACATACTCCCCCGTTGAGAGCATGGCGATCAATTATTTCTTTGAGTTGTTGGAGTCCATGGGCAGTGGTGCTAGTCGTCGAACATTCCGATCGACTTCTCCAGTAGATGTTCGAACCTTCACCTTCCTGATGACACCGTCGTCAGAGGGATAAGTCTGAATGACGCGACCCATGCGCCATTTCAGAGGAGGTAGATTATCATCACGCAGGAGAACCAGTGTACCAACACTGATGTCGTGATGCCCTGAAGTCCACTTATGCCGAATATTCAGTTCAGAGAGGTATTCTCTATGCCAGCGGTTCCAAAAGTGTTGTTTGATTTGTTCAAGATGTTGCCAATAAGAGAGACGGTTGCTGGGTGTCTCTCTCCAATCCGGTGCTGGCAGATCGGTGTTAATATCTCCATGTAAAAAATGTGCTGGAGTGAGTGCCGTGAAGTCGTTCGGATCAGAGGATAATGGAGTCAGAGATCGTGAGTTGAGGATTCCCTCAGTTTTGATGCATAGAGTGTTGAGTTGCTGATAGGTTAGCAACTCATTCCCGATGACTTTCTTCATGTGTTGTTTGCAGGATTTTACGGCAGCTTCCCAAATGCCACCGCAGTGTGAAGATACAGGGGGAATGAAGTCCCATTTGATGCCTTGATCAGCGAGGTGTCGATGGATAAAATCAGCATGATTTTTGTCATTGAGGAGAGTGTAGAAATCCTTCAATTCCCTGTGCGCATCAACGAATGTCGTTGCATTGTCGGAGTGAAGAGCCTTGCAAGACGGATGTCTGGAGATAAATCGACTGAGGGTAGCAAGAAATTCCTCGCTGGTCAAGTCATCAACTAATTCGATGTGCACGGCCTTTGTGGTGAAGCAGACAAATATGCAGATCCAGATTTTGAGCTTTTTGGTATTGCGATATCGTCTTTCCTTGATGAGAAATGGACCACAATAGTCCAGTCCAGTGTGGGTGAAGGGTTTGGCTTGTGTGATTCGTGCGCTGGGGAGTTCTGCCATCTGATAGTTGATTGGAGCTGGATCCACCTTGGCGCAGTTGATGCACTTGTGTATGACGAGTCTCACTTAACTGCGCCCATCAATGGGCCGGTAGCGTTGCCTGAGAAAATGCAATGTTGCTTGGACACCAGCATGAAGATTGATCAAATGAGACTTCTGGATGATGAGATGAGTGACGCAGTGACCCCTGGGTAATAATATGGGATGTTTACTCTCCAGAGGAATATCACGAGCCTTCTGTAGTCGTCCACCCACTCGAATGAGACCCTTCTCTTCAAGTTGTGGACTGAGGTTGTTCAACCGACTCTTGGTTGGAAGGGGTTTGTCTTGCTGGAGTAGTGAGAGTTCTGTGTGGAAGCCCTCTTGTTGAACCAGTTGGAGAATCCTGATCTCTGCTGCTTGGAGTTCTTGAAGAGTGAGGTGATAATGGGAAAATCGTTTTTGCCGTCTTAAACACCTTGCTGTGATTCGCTTGAGCCTTTCGAATGACGAATATTGATGTAGAAAAGGATTTTTTTGCTGGTTCAGTGATATGGAGACAGATGACCTTCTTCAATTCAGGTAATTCCTTGGGTTTTTCGAGGAAGAGATGAGGCCACTGCTCTTCAGGCTGTTGAAGCCAAGTGGGTCCATGTAGCCAGAGTTCATTCTTCAGGAAGTCAGAGGCAAGTTCACCTCTAGACACTGCATCTGCTGGATTCTCGTGTGTGCGTACATATCTCCACTCGACATTCTTGGTGAGGTCTTGGATTCGAGCCACCCTGTTGGCCACGAATCGTTGGAGGAGATGTGGGGAAGTTTTAATCCAATGAAGAGCGACAGTAGAGTCAGACCAAAAAACTTTCCGTTGCGGTGTGATGTTTGTTGCCTTCTTCACTGTGTCATACAGGTTTGAAAGGAGTTCCATTGCACAGAGTTCCAGGCGAGGGATGGTGTGATTGCCCTTTAGATGTGTAATTCGAGATTTAGCACAATAGAGGTGCACCTGGACTTTACCAGTGCATTCAGTAGTCTTCAGATAGATGCAGGCTCCGTAGGCACTTTGACTTGCGTCACAGAAACCATGTACTTCCAATTTTTCTTGTAGATTTGATGTGACTTGTCGCTTGAATTTTATTTCGTTGAGAAGAGGAAGTTGCGATGCAAATTCGTTCCATCTAGTGTGAATCTCTGTTGGTGTGGAGTCATCCCAGTTCAATTTAAGCCTCCACAGTTCTTGCTGAATGATTTTTGCATGGGTTACTACTGGATTGAGTAAACCAAGAGGATCGAAGATGCGAGCGACGTCTGATGCTATGGTTCTCATGGTGATGACATCTCTGGTGGCTATGGGGTTGACAGTATACACAATACTGTCATTCTGTGAATCCCAATGAATTCCAAGAGTTTTGAGCGTTGGATCATCTCCACCGAGCAGTTGAAGATTGACAGTCGATTCGGGGAGTCCTTGGAGAATTTCTGGAGAATTGGAAGTACATTGTCGTAGATTGAAACCGCCTGGCTTCAGCAGACTGATCATTTCGTTTCGGAGAAGTAGGGCTTCTTCAAGTGTTGATGTCCCAGTGAGGAGATCATCAACGTATAGATCTTGTTTGAGTCGTGAAGCTGCCAGTGGATATTTCTCGTACTCGTCGTCAGCCAACTGGTGTAGGCATCTGACTGCAAGGAATGGAGCAGAGGAGAGTCCAAACGTGACAGTTTGTAACTCATACGTATTGATATTCCCATGTTCTCGCCAAAGTATTCGTTGATATTTTGTATCCTCTGGTCTGATCAGCACCTGGCGATACATTTTTTCGATGTCTCCAGTAAAAATGTAATTATGGAGTCTGAATCTCAGCACTAGAGAAAGAATATCGTCCTGGATGGTTGGGCCAACCATCAGGGCTTCGTTGAGCGAGACTCCAGAGCTAGAGCGTGCTGAACCATCGAATACAACTCTGGTTTTGGTGGTGAGACTGGTCTCTTTGAAGACTGCGTGGTGAGGAAGGTAGAAGCCATCTTCAACTTCTGCTTCAATCCTCTTCATGTGGCCAAGATCCATGTACTCATTGATCACTTTGGTGTAGTCTTCTGCTAGCTTGGGATTCCACTTGAATTTCCGTTCCAGTGAGAGCAGGCGACGTTTCGCCTGGAGATATGAAGTACCAAGTTGATCCTTCTTCTCGTTGAAAGGCAGTGCCACTACATATCGCCCTTCTGGCTTGCGTGACACATGTTGCGTGAAATGAGCCTGGCAGGCTGCTTCTGCTTCTGATTGTCGGCTTTCTATGAGACCGATGTCTTCGATTTCCCAGAATTTTTTAAATTCATCGATGATGTCAGTGAAGTGACATTTCCCTTGATGGTGATCGGACTCGTCACTCATGCTCCCACAGACAATCCAACCAAATAATGTCTTCTGGAGATGGACGTCTGCTGCATTGGAGAGCTGGATCTGTCCTATACTGAGGATGGAGATGGAGGTGCTGGATCCCAATAAACCTTGAATTGGTGCAGGTTTATGGAAGTCCAGGTCTGCAAGAGGCAAATTCTTTGGAATCTCCAGTGATTTTCTGTCCATTTGTTTACTGGGCACGAGAGATGAGATTCTTGGGACAATTAAGAAACTCAATTCTTTCTTGAATTTATTCAGACGAGAGGTGATGGTGGTACTGACTCTATGATGCACTATTGTTGAGAGGTGATCTAGAGCCCCGATAGGGATAGAACAGGTTACCTTGTTGATGCCAAGTTCATGAGTAATGAAGTTCTTGGTGGATCCAGTGTCGATGAGGGCGCTGCACTGTACTGGTTGGTGGTTTTTGTTGAGGCGATTGATCGTTGCTGTTGGAAGTATATCTTGTCCTGATGAGTCCAATGGTAGTGAGACGGCTGATGATATTGAACTGCTTGGGGTGGCTAGTCATGCGTTGGTTGCCTGTGATATTGATGAAGAGTGCTTGTCACGATGGAGTAATGAATGGTGTCTTGCGGTTGAATCATTGCATATCCTGCAGAAACCCTTTGAGATACATTCCTTAACTCCATGTCCCCTTGAGAGACAGTTTAGGCAGCGACCTTGCTTGAACATGAGTTTTACACGATCCTCAACATTCATTGCATTAAGCTTCGGACACTCGTATATCCTGTGGTCTTGGTCGCAGATGGGGCACTTCCTGGGGGTGTTGGTGAAGAAAGATTGTGCCTTCGATGTAGGTGAATGACCAGATGCTGTGCTGCTTGACTGCCTTGGCTGTGAGTTCTTCTGCATGAAGTTCTTATTCAATTGTTGGTCATTCTTTTGTTTGTTGTGCTTTGATGACTCTGCACTGCTTTTAGCAGAGATTCCACGTTTTTCCAGAAAGTCGAGTAGTTGCTTGTACTTTGGCATGTCATTACCTTCAATGTGTGTCTCCCACTGGAACACGAGGTCATCATCCAGCTAATTGAGAATGGTAGTACTGATTAGACCATTGAGTTGATTTTCTGCAGTACCAAAGGAACTGATTAGCCGTAGTTGTTGGCGTACGAAGTTCACGAGGTCAGTCAATGATTTATTACTCTCTTTGTTTCTCTTTTCTACGTTAAGAAGTAGAGAGCAATGACGTCGAAGGGCTTGCCTGGGAATGTCGTACTTCTTATCGAGTAAGGCCCAGGCCGCATCATAGTTGTATGCAGTGATCTCTAATACTTCGATCACTTGACAAGCTTCTCCAATTACCAGAGATTGGAGATACTGCAGTCTGATAACCTTTTCAATGCTACTGGGAAGACGAGCATTGAATTGGTCCTTGAATGGTCGATATTTTTCGAAACTACCGTCAAATTTATTGAGAGTGATTTCTGGCAGTTGCATATTGAAATGTGAAGAGTAGCCAGCTGGTACTTGTTGTGGTGATGGTGCTTGTGGGGCTGGCTGAGTTTTGGAGCCTATCAAACGTCTCAGCGCTGCTACTGTGATGTGATAAGAATCTTCCACAGATTCTGTTTCTGCGAGGTTTGTTGCTAGATGGTCCAGGTCCAGCTCGAGGAGCGTGGCGTTGCTCTGTTCCCATTCGGCGAACTTCTCTCGGATGGTTTTCAATTTTTCTTCAATGAATTCAGTCGTTGCTGTGGAACCGTCCGATTGAATCCAATTGTTGCATCTTGTAATTCTTCAGTTGAAGGTTGTGCTTTTATGTTTTAGTGTTTCTACCTGAGCCATTTTTGCGTTTTGATTTACACGCGCGGGACTACGTGGCAACATGCACTCTGTTATGCTCCCCCGTTGCAGAGAGCTGATGGATAACGTTTCGATATTTTGAGTCAATTACACAAAAATTATTCACTGAGTTAATTCACGAAATTTGAACACTAAGTCAATTCACGAAGTTTATACACTGAGTCTGTTCACGAATAAATGCACTGATTGATGTTTTTTTTTTTAATCCGGCTCGAAGGACCATATATTATATTCGCTGGAATACCACATTCAATTTTTGAATTCCCTAGAGTTGTAAATTCTAGGAATCTGACCTCTACAGAATGATATTTGCGAATAAACACTACACGCCGAGGTTTTCTTTATGTAGTTAATTAAATAGTTTTAGGAAGAATTGGAGTTAACATAAATGACACTTACAGAACACCTTCAATAAAAACTTAAAATATATTTTACAAGAATGACAAGTTACAATGCACATACAGATAATGAGGAATGGAAAGATCTCCGTTGAGATGTTTCTTCTATAAGAGTCGCGTTAATACTGTTTGATGAAAATTCATTTTGGAGATAAGTTGTAGAAAGGTAGTCGGAAGCGATGAAAAATTGTGGAAGGAGAAATGGATATCTGAGGTTGCAAATGATTGGAAGAAAATCATTAGGATGGGAGGGACTATATCCTGATGGAGTGAAATACTCAGTGGGTCATAAAGGGGCATGGAGAGGGATACTTCTGGCGTCTGTTGGGCCTATTCCCCAATTAAAAATGTCTCGAAAGGTATGTTTGAGGGTTGAGTGCAATAATGAGAAGAAAAGGAATTTTTGTACTAAAACGAAAGGTGATTATTGCACTAGACAATATGATGATGATTTAAGAAAGGAATCTATAAAGTAATTTTACGCGCAGAGTTTACCTTCAAATTCAAATTCATTTATTCATCGTTTAGACAATACAGTCTTGTACAATGGGGAATCGAGCTGACTTGCGTATATACAGAGTGAAAATTCATACAATATTCCTATGTATTACAAACTAGGTTACAGATAGTAATTCCTTAAATCTCTAGTGCGGGAAGATAAAACGCCCTCATCTTTAGTTCGTGGAGTCCATGTTCAACTTTTTACCAATTTTAATCAAAAAGGAGAAAAGTGCAGTTACAGTTTCTTTAGTGCTTGCGTTAAGGATATGTCTGACGGCGTTAATGTTTACGCAAGGGAATCGTAATTTTTCAGCTAATATTTTTCGCTCTTCGGTGAATTTGGGGCAGATCGCAAGGTTACGATACAGGTCATTGGATTCAGGGAGAGAGCAAATGGGACAAAAGGGTTCTTCCGAGAGTTTGAGAGAGAATTTGTCAACGTTAATTCTGGGTGCGATACTTGTTAGGAGGCGGCATTGGGCTATTGGTTGGAGAATGTGGATTGGAACTTTAAAATTGAGATATGGCTGTGGTTCAGAGTTTAGGGTGAGGTTCAGGTGTGGATACACTGGAAGAGAAGAGGAGGGAAGTCGAAGGCGGTCTCTCTCCCGGAGGTCAACTTCATAGCGGCTGATAATTTCTTTTGTTGTATCACCGAGATTCTCATTTGTACAGAGATTCTCGAGGCCTTCAGGGAGGTAGGGCGCTATGATATTATTCAGCTGCTTGCACCAGTTATATTTGGGATTAATTTTGGGGTTACGAGACACGTTCAGAAGTTTTCGGAGACAAATTTTGGGGTATCTTTGTTCATCCATTCTCATAATCTTTACAAACCAATTTAGACATCTCTTTACGACATAGAGTTCGAGGGGAATAGCTCCAACTTCTACCCGTACCGCATAACTAGGACAATGTTTAGGCAGTGCTAACAATCGTTTATAAAAGTAGGTCTGCATCTGGTTAATCATGTCTAGATGCCTCAGACCCCACACTTCCGTACCATAGAATAAAACGCTAGTGGCGAGAGATTTGAACAAATGCTCTTTGGTGTTCCAGGTGTCCGAGCGAGCCCGATGGAGAATGTTTAATACTGTGTGGATTGCAGTTCGTGTGGAAATTTTAGAGTTATTTGATTGCATCTCAAATAGGCCGGATTTGTAAAAAGTGCATCCAAGATAACAGTAATGTTGAACAATCTCAATCGGGTCACCGTCAACCGTGAACTTCATATCCTTGGGCGGTCTACCTTTCTGCATAATTAAAATTTTCGATTTAGTTTTATTTATCTTCAGTTGGTTTAATCGAAAATAACTTGAGGCTAAATTTATGATTCTTCTCATTTCTCTAGGACTCTCTGCGAGCAGAGCCAAGTCATCTGCGTAGGCGATGCAAATAATGTCATGCTTGTGGTCGATCGACAGACCACGAGCACCATTTCCGCGCATGTATTCTTCAAAATCTGCTATAAAAAGGGAAAACAAAAGGGGACTGAGGATTTCGCCCTGCAGTACCCCTTCTGTGATGTCCACGGGTTGAGAGATACCGGCATCTGTTCTCACAGATAACCTGGCTCTGTCGTAGAGACTTTTACATATATTTATTATCTTTGTACTGATACCCAACTGACTTAACTTTTTCCATAATAAAACATAATTGACGGAGTCGAAGGCTTTAACAAAGTCAATGAAAAATGTGAAGACTTTACGGCCGGGTTGACTTAAGTGGATCTGAGTAACAGATGATAATATGAAAATGTTGTCAAGGCAGCCACGATGTTTGCGAAAGCCGCACTGAAATTCTGGAATTTTGTTGTTACTTTCCGCCCATTTATATATCCGATCGTTAAGAATTTGGGTAAAAATTTTTGCTATGGAGTTAACAAGTGAAATACATCTAAAATTCGAGGGGTCGGTGGTATCCCCCTTTTTGTGAATCATCGAGGCATATAATAACCTCCAGTTAGCTGGAACTATTTCTTGATCTAGAATCTTATTAAAAAATACTTCGAGGAATAACAACCATTTTTCTGGTAAATGTTTAAAAAAGTCATTACTTAAGCCGTCAGGGCCCAGTGATTTGCCGCTTTTGGCTTTGCGCAGGCTAGCAAGAATTTCTGTACTTGTGATTGGTGTGTCCAGGAAGGGATGAGGAGAGGAATCGTTGATAACTGGATTATTTACGCGGGGTGGGAGGAGGATTCGGAGATAAATATGCCAATCCTCGGGTTTGATCTCATTCTTTTTGAAGCTTTTAGGTCGAAATTTATTAATTGTGGACCAATACTGTTTCGGGTATCGGCAGGAGCTGATTGAATTAGTTATCTCTGTTATATATTTCTTTTCTTTGGCACATAAAAGATCTTTGTATCTTTTATTCTCTGTTTCATATATCTCTAGCTCTTCAGGGATTGAAAAATTAGATTTTTACATTTTTTCAGGCATCTTCTAACATGTTTTT